GTGGGCGTGGCTTAGTCTTATAGGGTCATATATTCTGATTGTGGGCGTGGCTTGGCATTGATTGACGTTTTCCTGTGTTTTGTGGGCGTGGCTTAGCCTTATATGGTAATATCATAACATTGTGGGCATGGCTTGGCTTTGATTGATGTTGTTTCTGGGGTTTGTGGGCGTGGCTTAGCCTTATATGGTCACATATAAACATTGTAGGCGTGGCTTGGCTTTGATTGATGTTGTTTCTGGGGTTTGTGGGCGTGGCTTAGCCTTATATGGTAATATCATAACATTGTGGGCATGGCTTGGCTTTGATTGATGTTGTTTCTGGGGTTTGTGGGTGTGGCTTAGCCTTATATGGTCATATATTATCATTGTGGGCGTGGCTTGGCTTTGATTGATGATGTTTCTGTGGTTTGTGGGCGTGGCCTGGCCTTATATGGTCATGTGTTAGCATTGTGGGCGTGGCTTGGCTTTGATTGATGTTGTTTTATTGTTCGTGGGCATGACTTAGCCTTATATGGTCATTTATTAGCATTGTGGGCGATTGTTTGTGGGCATGACTTAGCCTTATATGGTCATTTATTAGCATTGTGGGCGTGGCTTGTTGGGGATCCCCAGGTTAGGGAATCCCTTGGTCATTACCCACCTAACCCTTAGCAATTTTTGCCTTGTTTTACCAAATCACCTCTCTGTGCTGGTTTGGGCTGAAGTGGAGTTAACTTTCTTCCCAGTGGTTAGTATGGGGCTGTGTTTGGGTTTTGTGCTGAGCACAGGGCTGGTAATGCAGAGATGTGTTTGTTGTTGCTTGCAGAGTTTACACAGAGCCAAGGTCTTTGCTGTGTTCCATACTGGTGAGGATGTTGGGGGTGCATGGGAGATTGGGAGGAGACACAGCTGGGACAGGTGACCCAACCTCACCCAGGGGATATTCCATGGCATAGCACATCATGCTCAGTACAGAAGACAGAAGGAAGAAGGAGGAAGGGGGGACATCTGGAGTGATGTGTTTGTCCTCCCAAGTAACCATTCCCTGCTCTCCTGAAGGTGCTGAACACCTCCTGCCCATGGGAAGCAGTGAATTAATTCCTTGTTTTGCTTTGCTTGTGTGTGGCTTTTGCTTTCTCTATTAAACTGTCTTTATCTCAACCCATGAGCTTTTCTAGCATTCACCCTTCTGATTTTCTCCCCCATCCCGTTGGTGGGGGATTGTGTGAGTGCTGTGTGGTGCTTGGTTGCTGCTGGGGTTAAACCACAACACATAAAAAAGCATCTTGAAATGAATGATCAAGCAAACACAGCAGAAGTGGCTGAGGACTGTCCAATTTATTTGGACTACCTAGTGAAGAAGTGGATCTAATAACACCACTTGAGTTGCAACTTTCCAGAATGGATTTTTCAAAGTATGTCCTGCCCACAAAGCTTCAAATCACTTTCCAGTCTGATGCTAAATAAAAAAACACATATAGAAATACTGGAGATGAATCTTCACTGCAAGTATAACCGACAAAATGCCACTGGGCAGAGACAACTTTTTTTTTAATAAGCCCTATATGAAATATCATTTGAACTATTTCAACTGATAGGTACTTTTTCCCTTTGTTTAAAAGATCACCTAGGAGAAGAGATTGAATAATTTGAATAATCCACCCTAGGGATCCCCTCCTACCCTGGGAATTCCCACCCAATCCATGGGCAGCGATACCTCCCACCAAGGCTTCACCCAACCTGTCTGTGAACACTGCCAGGGTTGGGGCAGCCACAGCCTCCCTGGGCAACCTGGGACAGTGTCTCACCACCCTCACAGTAAAAAATTTTTCCTCATGTCTAGCCTAAGTTTCTCTCTTTCTATTTATCCAACTAGCCCAGGTTGCTCCAAGCAAGGAGAAGGTTCCACCTGAGCCTCCTTTTCTCCAGGCTGAGCCTGGGTTGGGAGCATAAGTCTAGTGAGGATTGGCTGAGGGAGCTGTGGGAGCTCAGCCTGGAGAAAAGGAGACTCAGGGGGAACCTTCTCTCACTCTCCAACTCCTGCCAGGAGGTGCAGCCAGGTAGGGTCAGGCTCTGCTCCCAGGGAACAACAGGACAAGAGGAAACGACCTCAAGATGTGCCAGGGGAGGCTCAGGTTGGACATCAGATGGAATTTCTCCATGGAAAGGGCTGTGAGACATTGGAATGGGCTGCCCAAGGAGGTGGTGCATTCAGCATCTCTGGAGGTGCTCAAGGACCAACTGGACATGGCACTCAGTGCTCTGGTCTGGCTGACAAAGTGGTGATGGGTCACAGGTTGGACTCGATGAGCTCAGAGTTCTTTTCCCACCTCAATGATTCTGAGATTCTGTGCATCCAGACACTGGGAAGTCACATAATGACTGAATTTGCAGAAGACCTCCAAGATCATGCCCACTAAACCCATCCCAGTGTGCCCATCTGCCAGGATCACCATGGTGACAAGAGTCAGGGATGGCTCTTTGCCATGCTGGTGCTGACCCAGTTTTCCACTGCTCCAGGGACAGCTGCCAGCAGCACTGGGAACACCTCCTCCTCCCTGGGGTAGGAGTAGACTTTGTCCCTGCTGCCTGGGGATGGGCTGGGAGCTCTGGGCACTTAGACCTTGCCCTGTTGGGCTGTAAAGAAGCCACTCTCAGAAGGTGACTCTCAAAGCCTCTGAAACGGCAGTGACTGCTCCGAGGACCTCATACTCCACAGGTAAACTGGTGGAAAATGTGTATTCCCGTTAGTTTTTGGATCCTTCTCCTTGTCTGGGGCTGTGGGGGCAGCCAGGCCAAGTGCCCAGGGCTGCAGGTGGAGGAGGTGACCCCAGATCCCGTGGGCTCTGGAAGCAGAGCAGATGGGAAGCAGAACTGCTCTCCCACCGAGTCCCTTCCCGTGACTCATCCCTCCATCCCAGCAAATGTCAGTCCTGCTGTGTCCCAGCAGAGATGCTGTACTTCATCCACCTTGTCCAAACGAAACTGTGGGCTGGAATTCATTCC